TCCCTAGAAATCGTGTGAGTTTCACTACTCCAACTGACAAACTGGTGCACATCAAGAATTTGCCCACTTGGCCGCACAGGTACGCCGCGCGCGGCAACGCGGCGAGTTACATTGCCTTCCCTGTCTTCCAAAATTTGTAGATTCCTGCAAACTCACTACCTCACGGCTCACACCATATACCATTTTTCTAGTGATTGTGGAATATGTCTCTGGAAGGCTATTCAGAAGCATGATCATAGCAGGGATTTCTCGAGAACTTCCTCTTCTTTTCGGAGTCTTTGCAGCCCATCGTGGACACAAACCGTAGCAATGAATTTAATTCAATCTTCCCGATAATCAATATCGTTCAGTCCCTTGAAAAGTTTTCATTCTAATTAAAGAATCACAGTGTAGATCACAATAGTCCATCGACGTCTCAGGACACTAATCAACCGCGAGGCCTCTCTCCTTCTTCCTTTTTTCTTCCTCCTTCTTTCGTTTCCTCCCCTCCTTCTCTTTTCCCTCTTCCTTTTCTTTCATCCTTCGAATGCTCGACCGATAGTTGCGATGAGAAAATACCTCTAGACCCTCGCAGCGAGAGAACGTTCGGTTGAAACCACAGTCGATATTGCATTTGTAGGCTGTCGTACGCAATAGGCAACAAAACAGTTTATTTGACGGCTATAATACGACCGTTTTGCTTTGCTCCAATCTTCTGCGATATTTTATCAGGTTCGTTCGGTAACAGCTTTTGATCGTAACGTCATTGCATTTGGCTTATGCTGTTGAATTATAATCTTTCCCGCGTTGTAGTACTCCCGTTTAACCGAGTTTTATTGCGTGCTGTGTACGAGGGTAGAGGCTTAATCTACCCTGTTTTCAGATGGGTTCCAGCGATATGGATAAAATGCTGGAGTCATTGGATCGAGCTACCAGAGGCATTAAACGACAGTCAACATGGGAACGTACATTGTCATTTATTGACAACATTAATAAGAAACCCCCACCAACCCAAATGGCTGTTGGAGGAGCAGCTGGATTGTGAGCTTTATTTGTTGTTGATTTTATTATAAAATCGAATCAAGCTGAAAATAGGGGAGAACCGTAGTTTTGCTTCAGTGTTCAAGCAAATTTCTTTTCAATTTCTCCTCAAGCGTTTCATACATTTCATTTTGTCCTACAACAGTGCTGTGTATGCTACCCTACAATCTCGTTCGCTGGGGATCGAGGCGTGTGTCAAGAGTGATAGATTTGGCACAGCGCCAAACCCGCTTTCCATCAGTTGTTAAGCGAGCAAGCGAAAATAGTGTATCATATCGTTTGCATCAGCCGCTTTCCACTAACTGTTGTCGCTCTCCCGCTTCAACAACTGCTGGAGAACTGCTTTGGCGCATTGCCAAGCTCTTCCCGTCTAACATACCCTTTCATAAGTTGCGAACAGTGGTGGTGCTAGGATACACGGCGCTA